TTATTATTATTATTATTATTGTTATTATTATTATTATTATTATTATTATTATTATTATTATTATTATTATTATTATTATTATTATTATTATTATTATTGTTATTATTATTAATTATTATTATTGTGATTATCATTATTAGTATTAGTATTAGTACTGAAGTATTTCTTCTGTTGGGATATTTCGCTTTTCTTTTATTCCCGGTAATCAAAAAAAAAATTTAAACAAATAATTGATAGTGTCCTTTCCTTTCATCACATCGTTTTTTAATGTGAAAAGAGTTTTGCTTTGCTATTTATTTTCTACTCCTTCACCTTTTGTCTTTCTCACAAAGTTATGCTATTAGAATTGTTAGGCACTTTTATTTGTTAATTAACAAATATCTTAAACAAGCAGAGAATTATTTCTGCATCATGCTTTAATATAACTTTCTTGTTAACCTTTCTTTTGTAATATCCAAGAAAGAAAATTGCAAAATGAAATTCCGTTTCGATATGTACTATTTCAGCATTTGTTTAATTTAACCAATGCATCATCATTCATTATCTCTAATTTAATACATTTTAGGAAATTTCGGTAACTTTCTTTTTCAATTTTTAGTTGAGTAAAAAAAAGAGAAAGAAGAATTAGAAAAATGTACTTTTAGCTTGGCTGTATTTAAATTCGTAATCAATTTAAAAAGGAATGAAAATGATAAATAGGTAAATAGTTTCTTACATATACTGATCCCTAGTAAAATATTTATTCCCCTTTTTATATGTGTTTAAATTTTGCGGGTAAATGAATGTTTAGTATTATACCTCATTGTGTTATCATTTAAATTCTAAAAATTAGAGGAATATAAAATGATGCGCAAATGGTATAGGTTAGCAAGAAGTATGATACATCCACTCCTATGGAAGATATGTAAATTAGAAAAATTTCTCAATTAAATTACCAAATGTTATTTGTTCAAATGTACTGCCGCCAATTTATACATCCTACAACCTTTCATATGACTATTGCTTTGCTTCCTTAAATTTACTTCGCTCTATTAGAATTGGCGCTTTTGTAGATGATGTATCAAGTACTAAATCCATGCAACATGATTTTCGATGTTTTTCATTTTTTTTCTTTGTAATTTCTAAGGTTGATCTCAATTTGATAAATATCTTTGAAAAGATTGCAATGTACACTTCAACATTTACCCTTCATGCATTTCAACATGTAATCTATGAAAGAAAAAAAGAAAACTCTACAATGAGATGTTGTGTTAGGATCGGTAATCTCATCCGGAATATTCTTTTTACTATTATTATGCAAAATCTAACAATTGTTCAGGTATTTCCATCCTTTATTCTTAATATCCTACCATGGATTCCATTGGAATTACTTGAAAAAAAAATATTTATTACAATTACATAAAAAGTATTTGTTAGCGCAATTCTTGGCATCTTGACAAAAATGGTAACGACGTTGTAGTTATTTTTTCATCTTTGCTATTATTTTTTTAGCCGAAACTAATCAATTCCTTTTTGCAATGATTTTTCCACCAATTTGAAATCCATTTCTGTTGAACAATGAAAATTACCAAATAACATACGTCGATTTTTTTTTTTCTGCAATTGATGTTTAATGAAATAGATTGGCATTCAATTCATTATTAGCATATTATTCGGCAAAAAGTTCAAAGTTCAGAGGAATTCACAAACATTTCACTCCAATTAAATTTTATCACATACGATAACAATTTCTGTTTGCCTCATTTTCCACTTATCATGCATGCATATTTTTTAACTTTTCATTTCTTTTTTCACCATTTATCTTTCAAAAAAAAAACAAATTTCTCCAAGAAGAAAAAATGCAAAATTTCGAAATGAAATGTTAAAATTTCAAAATTGAGGATGTTAATCAGTAAACAGCTCTTTTTTTCCGCCGAATTGGACCTAAGTGTGTTAATCGGTTTAACTAACTAGTTCTCCTATCTAGGAATAATTAGTGAAATGGAATCGGAGATCCCTCGTGACAGTGTTGAATGTGTGAAGAAGAGAACCTCGTTGACCTCTTCTCTGATGAACCCTTTCGCCTTCATCCTTTATATGAGGATATGAATAGCCCAAGTAAAACTCAAGCGATGGATTATTCTGGTTTCATAAATCCTGAATTCTACTCATCATACAATTCTGAATGTTACATATCCGAAAATCCTGAATGATAACTAAATTAGGCAAGGTCTTTTCGTAATCATTACTGAAAATCTGATGCATCAGTAAAATATTTTTGAAAATGTTGGAAGCATTTAAAATTGACAAATAAATCTGTTAACTGATTATTTTCGCCTTTTCCATGAAATTAAAGATGATAATCAGTGAATTCGAAAAGGAGAAGAAGGGGCAAAGGTTGAATTGAAATGAGAAGGAAAAGGGACAGGACAGAAAGATGACAGGTAATGATGTTGAGGAGAAGGAGGAAGAGGAAGAGAGTACTAAATTCAACTAAACTGGACGAACTAATATTTAAATGCTTGCGATTAAATGGAGTATGAAAAGATTAAGCATAGGTGAGCGGATGACAGGTAAGAGGAAGGGGGGGGGCGGAAGGGAATGCAATTAATGGATATCTGATAGGGGTAGTAGTGGACATTATAGGGCAGACAGTGATTCAATTCCTGAATTTAACTAAACTTATAGTGTTCGCATGTAATGATGATGTTTCATCGATCACTGACCACTTACTTTTACCTCTACTACTTTTATTCCTCCTTATTCATGTGTGAGTTAGAATTTACTTCATTTTTCTTTTTTTTGATACATTTGAAATTTAAATTTGAATAATCATAAGGAACCGAAAATCCAATTAATCTGAAATTAATTAAACAAAAAATAATTTTAATCGATTTAGTAGATTTTCTTACTATAACAATGAGAGTGATGATGGCAACTATAACAGTGATAACCATAATAAGTGCAGCTAGAATGGTGATAATCATATGATAATGATTATGGCTATAACTATATTGCAATTATCACATAGTGATAACATATTGAATATGTGAGTGAGAATATCATGCTTATTTTTATTTTATTTTCTCATAGTATTTCATATTGTCAGTCTAGATTTTATGACTTTGAAAATAAAACTATGCAAGTTAACTGTTAAATTACTAAAATTTCTAAACAATGAAATTAATTTGAGAATCAGAATGAGTTTAAAAATTTTTCAAATTTTTGAATACTGAATGAATCAATGACAATAACGGTTATAGTGATAATTCTTGGAAGTATTTGAGAATTATGTTTTCCATTTCCATTTTATATCACAAAAAAAGTCGTTCAGAAGTGCATTTCATCATTAAGGTAATATGCAACCATGTTTTCTCCAAACCACTATTTAACAATAAGTAATTTTTGATACGTACAATTTTGGATTGGTAATCCTTTTCCTGTTTCTATCCTATTCTTGTCCCTTCAGTTTATCATCCTGAAACTAATAATATATGCTTATCAGCAAATTATACGAGGTTAAATTAGATATGCAATTATACCACTGTAATATGTTTTCTAGTTTTTCTTTTTTTTTGTGAAGCTATTCTCAATAATTTACTCTTTTTTAAATCATAATATTTACCAATTTTAGTTTCATTTCATAAAGTTTTTAATTGATTTTAATCACAAACTAATTTTATATCTCTAAGCAAAATGTCTATTTACAAACTTAGGCATAAAAATTCACTCAAAATACTGAAACTGCATTACTCTCAAAATGGACAATAGCATATAACTTATGAATGATTAATCAAACTGTGTATT